ACTGCCAAAAGAAAGAAAAGTTTGGGGAAAAAATATTAAAAAGTAAACAAGGAAGGGGTGGGGTGGGGAAATCAACTCTAATGCTGCCATTCAAAGAAAGATTAAAATTTTGTTAGGTTTCTCCCATGAGGAGAAAGCTATGTATAAAAGTAGGGAAAGAGGGAGAAAAGCTAACCTGAGGATGTAGCTCAATGGTGGATTTCTTGCTTAGCATGCAGGAAGTCCTGAGTCCAATCACCAGCACTATAAAAAATAAAAGCCAAGGGGCTGGGCAGGTGGCTCAGTGGTAGAGTGCTTGCCTTGCAGGCATGAGGCCCTGGGTTTGATTCCTCAGCACCACATAAGCAGAAAAAGCCAGAAGTGTCACTGTGGCTCAAGTGGTAGAGCACTAGCCTTGAGCTGAAGAGCTAAGGGACAGCACCCAGGCCCAGAGTTCAGGCCCCATGACTGACAAAAAAAAAAAAAAGAGGCAAGCTGGTGCCAGTGGTTCCCACCTGTAATCCTAGCTACTCAAAAAGCTGAGATCTGAGGATCTCTGTTCGAAGCCAGCCCAGACAGCAAAATCTGTGAGACTCTTATCTCCAGCTGATAACCAAAAAGCCAAAAGTGGCACTGTGGCTCAGGTGGCAGAGTAGTAGGCTTAAGCAAAAAAGCTGAGAGACAGCACTTAGGTCCTAATTTCAAGCCCCAGGACTGGCACAAAAATGAAATAAAATTAAAAAGTCAGCAAAACCAAAACTCTAACTGTCCTGAGGGCTGCTACAGGAGATGACTTGTCTGGACCCTCCCCCCCCCCCCCCCCCCCCCGCACGCCCTGCTGGGGCAGGGGGAGTAAAAAACAACTACCAAAGGACCAGCACCTGGACGGAGACTGAACAAAGAATATCCTTTTGAAGAAGAGCAGGTCCATGTCCTTCCCTCCTGAGCCTCTTTCACAAGGTCAGTGATGGCCAGTGATGATCCTATCTCTACACAACAAATGCAGATGAGACACTTACAGACGATACATCATTTTTCTGTCACCACCTGTCCACGCACAAATCAACAGTGATTTGAAAGCGATTACACAACCTGCCCAAGTGGGAGGCAGATGAAAGAAAGTTCTAGAAGGGACAAAGGAAGAAGCAGTGCTCAGGAAGGGAAGGAAAAGGTGTGTGGAATTGTCTACCAAGCTCAGTGCCAAGTGTCCCAGTCATGGCGTGATCCTGACTGTGGTGGAACCCAAAGCTTGGACAGAATGACCTCAGTCCTGGTTAACCCGTGTATGATCAGGAAGCAAGTTGCTGATCTGGGCACAAATGTGGTTGTCTGGGTTCCTCACCATAAACCAGTGGTTTGAGGGTGAGCACAGCAAATAGTTCTCCTATTATTTCAGGATGTTTATGCAGATGCTTGCTGTGTGGAAACATCTGCACGTGGGCAAATCATCATTTTCATAAATCTCTTGTCCAAATACAGACACAGCAGTCACACTAACCCATGACAGAGTTCACTCATTCAAAACACATTTCTTCAGTAGCCACGATACCACTGGGCAGAGACTCCCTGAACCTCTGCTACATCCCCCCACACACAGGGCTTGGCTGTGGTTCTGGCCTGGCACAGAGGCAGACTTCAGTCTCAAGGGGCTTGCTGCGGTCCCACAGGCAGCCGAGCACTTAAAATGGGTACTTTATTGCTAATCAAGCATACAGGAGCTTCTACAGATTACAACAGGCACACAGACTGCCAAGCAAAGGCAGCAGACGCACCATCCTGCCGCTGACAGACAAGCTAAAAGGACATTTCTAACAACCAAGCAGAGCTGAATATGAACAAGTGATAGCAAGAGATAATTGCTGATTCTGTTATATGCAATACTAGTATGTGGTTTTGCAAGAGAACTCTCTTTTTAAGAGATGGATGAGCTGGACACTGGTAGTTTACATCTATAATCCTATCTACTCAGGAGGCTGAGAGCTGAGAATCATAGTTCAAAGTCAGCCCAGGCAGAAAAGTCTGTCAGACTCTTATCTCCAACTAACCACCAAAAAGCCAAAAGGAGAGCTCTGGCTCAAATGGTAGAGCGCTAGCCTTGAGCAAAAAGCTCAGGGACAATGCCCAGACCAACTTTAAGCCCCAGAACTGACATACACACCATACTAGATTGTATAGGAGCAGAGAATTACCTAATTATACCATTCCATTTTTGTGTGTGAAAATGTTACAGTGAGTGTCTTGCTATGTATCCCAGACTAATTCTATTCTTCAGTCTCCCACATATTTTTAACAGAAAACTATAATATATCATGGTAGATAACTTATCACAAAGTTGTATAAAAGACTAAGGAAACATAGAACAAAGAGCAAGGAAGGTTTGGGAGAACTAGAAGATAATACTGAATACTGCTTTAAATGTCATTTCCTAGTGGGGTGAGAAAATATACTTCCACAAAATTACAATGTAAGTCAATACACAGTGGAGGTACCTTTGGGGAGCCTCTGGAGGTCAGAGAGCAGCCATAAGCTTTGTCTGTATCCTACTGTTAAATTCCCACCCCTAATAGACAAAGGATTCAGTTTATCTTTTCTCACTTGCTTGCGGGGGAGGGGGGGGGTGGCCAAGTTGCAATAAGGAGTCTCAGTTTCCTCATCAAAATGGGTATAGCACATTACTTTTTTGGAGGGCTAATGTGGGGTTCTAAGGCCATAAAACATGAAAAGTCTCAGCATAATGAATAGTATTCTTTTTCCTGGGTCTTTGAAGAACGAGGTGGTTAGCCCTTTGTGGGCTTCTAAGATTAGCAGTATTTAGCCCAAATCTTCTCAAGCCTCTACCACACCTCCCTCTAGCCATAGTCAATACTCTCCACTGAGATAGAATGTCTGTTCTTTAGTGGTGAGAAGTGGAGGGGCAGGCCCATGGCTGGAAGGCAAACACAGATAGGGGGTGGTAAGTGGAGAGAAAAGAGACACACCCAAATTATAGGCAGAAAAGAATGAGGATTATCTGGCTGCTCCTTGTAGCTCCTGGAAAAGGGCCTCTACAACTACAGCCAACCATAGCCCTTAAGCTAATTTATATCAAAGTGTCATTGATTAGTAACAGGCTAATTATGGAAAGAAAGTCAAAGTCAAAGCCTTAAGCATGCAGGGATAAAAAGTGATGTCATAATTTTATACAAGTGTGCTTAAACATGGCTTTCAATTGCCACAGGAAAAAACTAGTATATCTCAATATTTGCTTCCCTGCTCCAAAACAAGAGAGTAAAACTAGAATTGATCCTAAGGTCAAGAGGATTTCAATGCAGTCCTTCTAGTCTATTTTAAAAGCCAACATTCAGGTCAATGGTGGAAAAAGGCTTTCTCCCAAAATAATATCCAAATACCAGCAGTGAGTCTACTATCACATCATGGATAACTTTCTCTTTCTCCCTGGAATGGAGGACAGAGTGGTTCGCAGGTTGACCCAGGCTAACCGGGGTCGTTCCAACACTTTGTCAAAGTATCTTTGGAAATCCTAGTGGACAGGCACTTTCAGAAGCCAGGAGGCTCCAGTCAGGCTCCAGTCAGGCTCCACTGGGGACAAGAGGATCACATAGAACACACATGCCATAGCCCTGGGACAGTGGGAAGGATGCTTGCCTTAGAACCTGGCTCAGTCACTGTCTCTATTTCTGAAAGTGGTATGGGGGGAAGGGAGGGCCTAGACTTTTTGGAGAGTAACCACAAAATCATTCACAAAAGTGCCACTGGACAGGATCCTGCTGGCCAGGAGGTCTTAATAAACCTATCTTTTCTCCACCTGGAGAAGGCTAGTTCTCAGGATGATTAAAGTTTCTGGATAATCAGTGAGGGTTATTCTGGGGTTTCTAAGTCCACCTGTTGGGTATAACCCCGCCCCCCCACCCCCACCCCCACCCCAGGGACTAGCAGATAGAGGGCACGGGTTCCAGGGAAGGCCAAGCAGCCTTGATATTTTTCCATGGGATCTGCCTACAAGAAGGTTTGCTTAAGTGATTTCATTTTTCACCCAAACCACTTTAGATTGTGGTGAGCAGAATGACAGCAAGAGAGCGGGCACATCACCCCAAACTCTGCAGGGCCCTAGCAAAAGCTTCCAGATGAAAACTCTTCCTGCTTTAAGGCCTCGGAAAACGTGGAAAGACACAGGTTCACTCGGGTTTCAACACGCCGCCTCTTCTCCGTTCAGTAAAGGCCCTTCCTTCCCAGCTCTGCGGGTGAAGCTGGCGGGGATGAAATGAACCCCACCTGCTTATGGGCTGGGGGGGGGGGGGTGATGGGGGGGAAGATAGCTAGATCAGCTGCCGCAAAGGCTGCAGGCCAGACGCCAAGTCTCCCCAGCACCATCCAGGCAACGACAGAGCGAGCGGGCAGCGCGGAACCCCAACACCCCCGAAGGGGGTTGCTCCTGGGCCTGGGGTGAGCTGGGCTGCTGGGGACAGTGGCACCCGCCTCAGACCCAGCCTGGGTCCCAGCGGGCAGCCGGCCAGGCCGTTCACATTTGGCCCAACTTAACTTCCTGTAATCAAGGAGGGAGGGGACCCAAGGGAGGAGAAAAGGCACCCCAGAGACAGAACAGGACAGAAGGAAGCCCCTCGATCCTGGGAAGCCAAGTTTGGAATGATCTCCTGCCCGGGGTCGGGCGACACCGCCGGCGCGTGGCGCCCACTCCGCGCGGGCGTCGAGGGTTTCTGGGGTTAGATTGCGGGGTCCGGGTGTTGCGGGGCGGAGTGAGAGGTAACTCGGTAGCTCGGGGTGTCCGCAGGACGCTTTCCATTACGCTCGGAATTTCTTTTTCCTTTGAGACCGGCCCGAGCTGCTTAGGGCGCCGCCGGCAGCGCCGCTGGCTCGTCGCTCGCCCCGTGAGGCGGGTGCTCCGGGGATGCCGCAGCCGCACCTGACCCTTCCGGGAGCGCGACTGGGCGCATAGTCCAGCCGGAGCCGTGCGCACCCGTCCGTACCCGCCCTCCCCACAGCCCACGCCTTCCCCACCTTACCGAAAGTCTCGCGGGCCACCGGGACTCAGATCAGCGCCCGCTTCCGCCTCAGGCTGAGGAAGCAGCGGGCTAGAGCCTCCCGGCGCTTGAGGAGCCGGGAAGCGCAAGCGAGGCCGCCCAGCGCAGGCTTAGCCGGCCGGGCGTCTGCAGGTCTGCGTGGTGCGGTGGACAGGGCTGGGATACGCCCCCACCGGAGGCTCAGCCAATGACTTGGCATCCGGGGGCGAGGACACGCCTCCTTTCCAAGTCGTATAGCCAATGGTCGTGCGGCCCGGAGCCCACCCCAGTGCCCGCCCCGCCCCCACGGGGCCGGCTGTCACCGCTGTTGTCTCCGGCGCACGTGGGCAGAAGCCAGGCCCAGAGCGCAGGGAGCGGCTGGGCGCTCCCACTCTGACTGAGGAGTGCAGGTCCGAGACCAGCCGAGGGCCCGATGAGAGCGGGTGTGGTGTCACTGGGAGATTAAAATCCCGGTGTGGCATTCTGGTGCCAAGGGAGAGACGAGGGCTGGGCCTGCCTAGGCAGCTGGAAAGCCAGCCTCATGGTCCGCTTTTGGACATGAGGGAGCAGCATAGGACTTCCAGTGATGACTTCTAGCGAGGCCCAGTAGAGCTCCTTATTTGCTCTGACTTTTTTGTCGTTGTGGCCGGTACCAGTACTTGAACTCGGGGCCTGGATGCTATCCCTTAGCTTTTTTTTGCACAAAGATGGCACTCTACTACTTGACTGAGCCACAGATCCACTTCTAAGATTTTGGGCAGCTAATTGAGGATAAGAGTCTCACAGACCTTTCTGCCTCAGCTTACTTTAAATCGCTATCCTCAGCTCTCAGCTTTCTGATTAAAGGCATGAGCTATGGGTGCCCAGCGATCTGCTATGCTTTGTGACCACCCCAAGCATCAGCAAACTGTCCTGCTAATAGTCCCTCACTTTGACTGACTTTGCTTTGGCTGAAGTTTGTGGGAAGAGGGGTGGTGAAGCAAGCCGCCTGTGCTAGTTTGATCAAATCCTTTATTGAGTGTCAAGTGGCTGTCTTAATCTCTGTTCTGCTCACCTTCCTGGATTGCCTTCTTCCCTATAGCCCCAGAGAGCACACTATTCACAGAAAAATAGCACAGGTGAATAGATGGAGCCAGAGGTGGGTTACAAAGCGCTTTGTAGACTATACGTACTGCAAACACCTGTGCAGAAGGTTCTGGTAGAAGCAGTCAGGTAAATAGTATCCGCACCACTGACTCACCTCTGGGACCTGGGACTCATCATGGGGCTTGGCCTGATGTAGACATTAATAAATATTCTTGGAACTGAGCTGATCCAGAGTGAGGAAAACAAGCAGGTCTGGGCAGTGAGCAGGCAGCACTGTGGCTCCAGGCTATTGGAATTCCCCAGTATCAGCCCACCTTGTGGAGAGACCACATTCTGTTTCCAGGCAGGCAAATAGAGCAGTTTACCTCCTGGAACATTGGGCCAAATTTTTCTTCTACTCCTCACCATGTGATCCTATTCCTGCCCTTATGTGTTTTACTGGAAACTAGCCTACCTGGCAGCCCTTTCAGCCTCCTTACAAATATAACCAACTTCCTGCAGACAAATATTCCCCTACACCTATCCCTGCTCAGTTTGCATGCCTTAGTCAGCACAGGCTCTGCACTCTGGCAGACTCTGTCTATGGCCCCAGTCGATGGACTGTCCTCCACACATCATCTCATTTAGGCCAGAACCTAGAGGTTTCTGTTATCCAGCCCATTCACAGATATGGAAACTGAAATCAGTGATATAAGTGTATCTCTGATTGATTGTATCACTAATACAATCTGTCAAGGTCACATAGTTAGTGTGAATCTAGATTTGACCCCAGATCTCTTTCCAAATTCCAAAAGCTTAAACACTGTGTTTGGGGCCTTTACAACCATGCCCATGCTAGGATACTGGACAGATCATATCTAGCCTTAAAAGAACTACTCCAGGCCTGGACCTCTGCTAGTCCATACAAGCATCCTGTGGAGCTCAGGTCTGGGTATATAAAGGAGAGGAGACCCTGCAGACCTGGCCTTGCTTTATTTTGGGGGTTATAAAAGAAACATAAGACTGTAAGGAGCAGTAGAAAACCCTTTTAAGTAGCTAATTGAAGAGTCTCACGGACCTTTTTGCCCCAGCTGGCTTTAAATCGCTATCCCCAGCTCTCAGCTTTCTGAGAACATTTTGCAATATAGAATTGACTGGACAAGGCCTGTTGCTGTTGGCCTAGATCTGAGACAGCCAGGTTAGGGATGAGGATGGAGGCAGAGTCATTTATTCATGTAACAAACACCATTAAGAACTAAATGTGGGGAGGGAAGGGATGGTAAGGGAAAAACAAAGGAGTAGGTAACAACGCTCAATACCTTTACTCATTACCTTACTCATGTAACTGTAACCCCTCTGTACAGCATTTTTACCATAAAAATATACAAAAAAGAACTAAATTTGCTTGCTGTACAGAAGCAGATGAAGAATCAGGAGTACATGATGTTATGAGAGTTGTATTTTTTCCTCTTTTTAATTCCAATTGCCTTATCTACAGTGCAAAATGTTCTCCTTTCAGATTAAAACAACCAGAAAGACTTTGGAACAAACACATTTAACAGAGATAGCATTACTCAGCACAGAAGTTCTAACAACTCAAAAATAAGAACTTGCTAATACATTCCAAATTGTCTCTTCTCTCCTGTACTACTCCCAAACTTTATACCAGAGAGCTCTGGTAGAAAGACTCTTATTAGGTAGATCTGGAGACTGGGTGTTTCCTTGGAAATAGGGCAAGCTGTGAACTGATGAGGGACAACACCATAGAGGTAGATATGCCTTAGAACTTCCTGGGTCCCCTCAGCAACTCATATAGGTCACCCTTGCTGACCATTCCCCCAGGGGCAGGAGGTTGAGAAGAATGGGTTCAGAATGTCACAAGTCAGGGCTGGGAAGGTGGCTCAGTGGTAGAGCACTTGCCTTGCATGCTTGAGGCCCTGGGTTCGATTCCTCAGCACCACATAAGCAAAAAGGAAAAAAAGCCGGAAGTGGTGTTGTGGCTCAAGTGGTAGAACGCTAGCCTTGAGCTGAATTGCTGAGGGACAGCGCCCAGGCCCAGAGTTCAGGCCCCACGACCGGACCCAAAAAAAAAACCAAACAGAATGTCACAAGTCAGAGCAGTTATCATGGGATGTTCCATTAGACTTAAGCTTGTGTCTGAGCTTAAGTTGAGTTTGAAAAACTCAGCTCTTCAAACAATATTTGAACAATATTTGGTTGAAACTTGGAGGAAATATTATCTAGCCCCTTAACAGAATGAATGAATACCCAGATATAGGCACTTATAAGGGTCCAGAGAAAATGAGTGGGTTCCAAGTCTCCTACCGTATGCTAGGCAAACTTCAACTTCCTGATACAGCAGCATCATTTTCTATATTTGATGATAGCCTCTTCCCTATTCATTTTCCTAGGATGCTGCTTGTAGAGGTTGTCTGAGAGAAGCAGATGGCTATTTAGCATCAAAGACAGGGAGAGAAGGAAGACCCAGATTAATTTCTAAAAATACCTTCTTTTCAGACTGAAGCAATGAGCCTCTGTAGCACCACGCATGCGTGGTCCTGAAGGAACTGCAGCTGGCAGTCCCAGCACCATCCACGTTCACTTGACCTTATACAGAGAAGGCTGCAGGGGTATCAGATATGGCTTCCCTTTCTTTCTAGCCTTGTACTGTGTGCTTAGAGAAAGGTCAGAGTGAAACTGAATGCATTCTCCTTGTGGAGATTTTTGGTAGAGAGCCCAGGGTGCCTCTACAGGTATTTAAATAGTAAGAAAGAAAGTTTCTGTCTTATATCTGCCAAGGAGTTCCCAGGGTACCTCTAAAGGCATTTGAATGGCAAGGAAGAGAATTTCTGGGCGCTTGGGGCTCTCCTCTCATCTCTATATACTTTAGGAAGGGGTGAAATGTTGAGTGTGGTACTCACAGGCTTCCTCCCAAGCTGCTATCAAAGGGCCTTGGTCTTGGAGGTGGAAGAAGCCGGGTATCTTGAGTCCAGTGACTTTGTCAGAGGAGGTGCTGGATAGTCCCAGACTGCCTAGGCAGCTATCTTTGGAGGAATTTCTAAGCCAGGAAGTAGAAACACTGGTACCTCCCTGAAGCAGGCTCAGCAGAGTGTGTGGGAAACACCATCACACTGGGGCCTTGTTCTAGCCCCTTATCATTCTGATAAGAACTCAGAAGGCATGCATTGTTCATGCATAGGACATGAAACTTCTCAAGGAATTCATCAGGCCTACCACACTTTCAGTAGATTTTCCAGACACGGTTTGGGGAGAAGAAATGATATCTGTCTGATAGCTGCCAAAGTCAGGAACGTCCTCAGAGGGAGCATAGCGTTTAGGCATGTGCAGGTAGCCCGCAATGTGAGAAAGTTGGTCCTGGCAAATGGAGAGCTATAGCTGCAGGCAGGAGGTAACACCCAACCACAGGTACCAGCCAGAGCAAATAGAGACAGCATGGCACACAGGGGAAGAAACAAGGCCACATAAGTAGTCTGGCCCCAGCCCCAGACTGGGAAGATACATATTCTCAAAGCCAACTGCAAAAGCCAAGAGCATAATTCTGGGCCCTAGAGACACAAGAAAACAAACGATACCAACAAAAAACCTGATGTACCTTCATGGTGGGCCAAGCCATCCAGGCAGCCCAGGCAGAGTCCTGTTTAAGCATACCCAAACCCTTTCCAAAACCCTGATGCAGATGAGTGCATGGAGGAAGCAACTGTCAACTTGTATTCCTGAACCTTCCACAGAGCTGCTGGTACTGGGTAGCACCAAGGGTAGAAGGGGACTTGCGTGCATCTGTCAATCACATGTCCACATCACAGAAAGGTACAGTGCAGTTATGAGAAGAGCTGTAATAGCAGAGCCATTCATAGCACGCTCTGAGGTATGCTATAATTTAAATCCCATTTTGCCACTTATTAATGGAGTAACCTTTGTGAGAAACTTAACCTGAGCATGTAGCGGGACCCTCACATGTAACAGATCAATAGAAATGTGGAGATTTGTGCATAGAACAGTAAATAATGTATACAGGGATCTTGAATCAATAAAGAATGGGT